CAACTGACCTGCAACTATTTTCTCTAGAATTTTTGAGATGAAAGTTAGATTAGATATAGGTCTATAGTTGGCCAGAATTTCTGAATCAAGATCAGACTTCTTAAGTAAAGGTTTAATTACAGCAACCTTAAAGCGCTGTGGTACATAACCATCCATTAAAGACAAATTAAGTAGATCCAAAATGTGGACATTAATTAGGGGGGATACCTCTTTAAACATTCTGGTTGGGATGGGATCTAGCAGACATGTGGATGGTTTGGATGAGGTTATTATTTTTGACAATTCAGAGCTCAACAGGACAAAAACTGTCCAAACATAAATCAGGCTCTAGTGACATTTTTAAAGTTGCCTCATTTGACAGGGGACTAGAGATAGTAGAAGGAAGGATGGTTTGAATTTTCTCTCTAATTGAAATAATTTTATTTATAAAGAATCTCATGAAGTCATCACTACTTATAGTTGTAGGGATACATGGTTCAACAGAAATGGGACTTTTAATTAGTCTAGCAATAGTACTAAACAGAAACCTAGGGTTATTTTTATTCTCCTCTATTAAAGATGAGTAATATAAAGTTCTAGCTTTACGGAGAGCTTTTTTATATGTTAGCAGACTATCTTTACAAGTTAAATAAAATTCTTCAACATTAGTAGAGCGCCATTTTCTTTCCAGCATTCTAGATGCCTGTTTTAAAGTACGTAACTCAGAATTGAACCAAGGAGCCAGTTTCCTCTGATTGATTACTTTCTTTTTCAGTGGAGCAATTTTATCAAGTGAAGTTTGCATTGAAGTTGTAAGATGATCAACTAGATGATCTAAGTCTCTGTTCTCTGAGGCATTACTCTGCAAGACAGAGGAAACATTGATGGAAGAGATTGTTTAAATTTGGTTACAGCATTTTCTGATAAGCACCTGCTGAGATGAAATTTACTCTCAGTGACTGTGTAGTCATTTAATGTAAACTCAAATTTAATAAAAAATGGTCGGACAGAACAGGATTATGAGGAACTATTACCAAGTCCTTAATCTCTACACCATAGGTCAGAACTAAATGAAGAGTGTGATGATAAGAATGAGTAGATGTGTGGACGTTTTGGGTAAAACCAAATGAGTATATTAAATTATTAAAGGCTATGCTTAAACTATCACTTTCAACATCCACATGAATATTGAAATCACCCATTATGATGATTTTATCAGTATTTAATAATAAGTCAGTTAATAATTCTGAAAATTCAGACAAAAACTGAGAGTAAGCGCCTGGTGGACGATATATAACAACTAGTAAAAGCGGCTTTTCTGATTTCCATTTTGGATGAGAAAGACTGAGGGACAGCGATTCAAAAGAATCATAACTAATAACTGGTTTGGCATTAATCAATAATCCTGACTGAAAAATAGAAGCTACTCCTCCACCTCGGCCAGTTGTTCTAGGAACATGAACATTTAAATAATTAACAGGAGTGGATTCATTTATACTAACAAAATCTTCCTGTTGTAGCCAAGTTTCTGTCAGACAGAATAAATCAATATGATGATCAGTTATCAGTTCATTAACTAACAGGGATTTAGAGGAAAGAGATCCGATGTTCAATAATCCACATTTAATGATTTTATGATTTTGCTCTGGTAAAGTAACTGTGTTTATTTTAATCAGATTTTTATGGTTTATATTTTTAGAGCTGATTTTTGGTTTATTTAATTTGAGCCGTGAGAATCCAGTTAAAGAGAGTTTGGACATTTAGAAGTGGGGTTCTGTGGAGAAGTTACGAACAGTAAATATCTTACCTGTTGTTTATGACCATTTGTGTGACCTCAGTTTGGAGAAATAGTTTAATTTTGACTATAAATTCTATTCTAGTGTGGACCGTTTTGTACCCACCAGGTAGATATGGACCAGTTTTTATATCGTGCACCTTCAGTGTGGTTTTCAGACCTGGACATTCAGAGCTTTAAATTCTGATTTTTTTCTTTCTCAGAGGTCTCTTGCATTTGTCAAAATACAGCTGTGACATTACAAAAACTAAACTGAGACAAGTTTGAGACGTTTGCAACTATTCCGCACCTACCGTGATTTTCTCTGTACAAGTCACAGTTTTTTGCATGAACGAACATGCGACTTATACAGCGAAGCAACTTATTTATGATTTTCCCCATATTTATAACCTGAGATTTGACGATTTTGTTCATTCTGACATGGAAAATATTGAGCACTAACATTTTCAGCCGCTAGTTGGCCCTCGACTAGTATGGCAAGCCAAGTGTCTCATTAATAAGTAAAAGTGGCTATTAATGAGAGACTTGGCTTGCCATACTTTCCACCTTAGTCTCGCTCCGGAACGCCTGGAGCAAACGTCAAATCAGCTGCTTATCGCCGCGCCGCCCACGTGAAATGCAGCTGATTTGACCATTAAAGTGCATTTATTAAGGAAGAGTTCAACAGAGACACACGTTTGCTATAATTTGGAGCAAACAAATAATAGTTTTTAAGTGTTAATCTTGTTAAATCCTTGTTAAAGTCTTCCCGTGCACGCTCCCGCCATTTGGCAGCCAATCGTTTTTTGGCACAACATCGGCCCACGTTTCCAGGTTGTCAGCGATGATGCATAATAGATGCGAGTTATACGGCGAAGCGACTTATTTATGGATTTTTCACGTTATCAGACATATTTAGACTGATGCAACTTATAGGGCGGGGCGACATGTGCAGCAGAAAATACGGTATAAGATATTGGAAACTCCGTTAAAAACGCTGTTTACAAATAGTCCAACAGTTGCAGTGAGAATCCATCCTACAGCTTAAAATCTTTCTTCAGGAAGTAGATTTAGGTGATTAATCCTAATCTTAATTATTTCTTTGTGACTCCCCTTCAGGTGAGGAGGCCGCTGCAGACGAAGGCAAAGACTCCAAGTCAGCCAAGGCCAAACGCACACACTTTGGCCGTGCGGTGTCCTTGAAGAACTTCATCATGCGGAAGGGAAAATCCAGCAGCGTGGATCATGGTGAAAACACCAAGGAAGGAGAGGAGGCTGCAGAGGGAGGCGAAGCGGTGGAAGAGGAAGGTGCTGACGGCGATGCAGCCGCCGGGACCGAGGAGACCAACGACAAAGGTGCAGAGGCAGCTGAAAAGACGCCGGCAGAGGAGAGCGGCGCCGAGCCAGCAAAAGAACCGGAGAAGACACCGCCCGAAGCTCCGGTCACCAACGGGGAGAACGGCTGCACCAACGGCACGGCTGAGGAGGACACCGTGCAGAATCACCAGGAGGAGGAGGAGAAGACGACAGAAAGCAGCCTGGTGAAGAAGAGCAAGGAGGCCGGAGGAGTGAAAGACGACGCCAACGCGAAGATTATCAACACCACGGCAGCTGTGAACAGTGGTGAGTTCGAGTTTGCTAACCGGGACTCTGACGAGCCTCAAAACAACAAGAGCAAAGAAGATGTTGACAAGAAGCAACAGGCGCTAACAAACAGTAGCAGTAAACAAAATAAAAGCAGCTGTCTCGAACCGGGGCTAACCGAGAGCAGGGAGGAGGACAAGGCTCCACAAAATGGAGGCTGTCATGATGGTGGAGAGTCACCTGACCAGGGAGAGAGGGAGGAGGAGGAGGAGGAGTTGAGGAAGAGGGATCTTCGAGAGGCAGCAGTGGTTATTGTTCAAAATGTGATGTCGGCAGCAACCGACCAATTAGAAAGAGAGCTGTGCGTCAACAACGGGTTAAACGGTCATTAGATACTGACGACACCAACATTCTTCACTGGAAGATCACTTTAAAACACTTAAATATGTCACAGTGGCACAGATCCACGCACAGGATGAGGCACATTTAAGAACACTTGAAATAAAGTTTACCTTTAAAAACAAACTCATCAGATTCTGTTGCAAGAGAAGTTCGGTTGATTGAAAACCTAAAGATTTGGTTTTAATGGAAAGAGAAGGAAACTTGTTGAGGCTCTTTAAAGATCTAGAAACCCATGCATAGATTTTTTTAAACTGGATTATTGAGCATGCATCAGGAAACCAATACATAGGCCTGTCGCGATAAACAATAAATCAATTAATCACACGATAAATGAAAATTATCAATCTCATTTTCATTTATCGTCTTTATCGTTTCTTCGTGCCTCTCTCTTTCTACTGAAGACACTGGATGAAAAAAGGCTTAACTCCGATTCCTCACTGAGCCCTCCCTTTCTCTTTTCTCTTTAAAATCTGTTTTAACGTCCAAACTCACGTTTTTGGATCGTTAAAAGCAGCTAAGCTGAGAAGCTAAACTATGAGCTAAGCTAACAGGCTGACTTCAAGAAAAAACCTCCGTCTTGTCGAAGCTCCAAAATTCATGGTTGAAACTCGTGCCTTCGTGTAAAAAGTTGTTTTTCTTGGCAAAAAGAAGCTGAGAACTTGTTTACTGATTTTTTTTTTCATTAAAAGCTTTGTGTGAAAAATGCTAATGAGCTCAAACCACAACGAGTGTCTGCCATTTTGAGAACTAAAAAACAGAAATGAGAGACAGCTCATGTCACGTCAAGGGGCCTCCCTCCCATTTTTCTTAAAGAGACACGCTGCTCTCTCCCTCACTATCCATCCTTCCGTTCAAACTGTCTTATCCTGCCATCCAGTGATCAAAAAAGGTACTACACACAAAAATTAACCAACATTTCTTCTTAAATTTGACAATAGTTACTAATTATTGTCAAATTTCTAACAATATTATCGTTTATCGCAATAATTTCTGAGACAATTAATCGTCCAGCAAAATTTGTTATCGTGACAGACCTATGTATTAGATCGAACCAAAACAATGACATACACAGCTCGCACCACTAGGTGGCAACGATGACAGCATTAAAACAAATCAAAATACAAAGCAGGAGTAATCTGAGCAACGATAAATATTTTTTAAACATTTGTCCATTATTCATTTTTCCATCCTCTCACTTTCATTTGACATTGACAACATTCCTAATTTTCCCGTCCTCTTATTGCGAAGGCAGCAACGCAGCAAGTTGCTCTCGTTCCTCAATTTCTTCTTCTGCGATTCAAATGCCACCACTCTCTGAAGCACTAATTTAAAAAGAGCTCTAAACTCTTCTAGCATCATGTTTTTAACACTGCATGTTTTTTGACCCAGGGTTCTGGGGGCAGTTTTCCCCAGTGTCATCAGGACAATTGATTTTTGGTTCAGTTATTCATCCACAGCTGAAAAGCACATAAACATACATTAGATTGATTTTAATTAAGGAGATAAAAGTTTTGTTTTTTTAATAATGTGCTATTATCAATACTGAGTTTGTGTGATGTTCTCTTGGAAATATAGCAAACTGTCTTTGTTTAAATGTGGACAAACTGCACCAGTGCAAAGAAACAGTGTTTGGTTTGCAGCACAGTTTGAGGCGCATGTCTCTCTTTGTTGATAAGACGTGAGAAACAATCAATAAACTTATTTTGGCATCAGTTTTTCTTAAAACAACAATTGATGCTTGTGGTTGAGAGGCTCATATGCAGAAAAAACACTTTTTTAAATTGTTGGTGTGTTTCTAAAGCACCATGTTCTTCCTCGATAAGTCCCTGAAGCTTCCTGCGTCTCCTCTCTGAATTCATTTCACTGTAAACTCTTTACTTTTTATTTTTTAAATGTAGAGGACAAGATCAGTTTTAACAAATGCATTAATAAACACTAAGGAAAAAGCAAAGTGAAGGTTTTGCTTTGAGCCATGCTAGCAGTTTCCTTTTGCTTCCAATCTTTATGCTAAGCTAGGCTAACCCTGCCTGAACTCGTGCTCGTCACATTCATCCAGAACACGAGGGACTCCGATCCGCACACACAAAAGCAACGCATTACGAAAATAAAGCAGCTCTTTTCAGAACTGTTGGATATTTGGACAACTTTAATGCAAAAAGCCGAGAGGTGGAGAGAAAAGGAGCGTTCAGTTGTGGAGAAACTGATTTAAAGTTCATGAAGCGAACCAGTGAACAGCAGGGAGGACTCAGGTGCTGCTTGCTGCTCATAAAACTGGGTAAAATACAAATATCTGACAAGCTGCTGCTCGTGTAGACTGGCCGCGGGCCTCAGCGGTTGGTAAAGAGGTCCGACAGGAACCCAACGGTCGGTCAGGTTTGTTCCTTTATGGGTGGTCCCCTGAATAAAGCGGCTCCGCTCCGTGTTTGTTCCCACCTGCTGGACGCTCAGCATCCGGAGGTGAACCTCCTCTATTATTCATCTCTCCATTCAACAGCGCCGCCAGGCTCCAAGTCCAACAACCGGCCCGCTTTGATCTCCAACGGCCCAGCAGCTGCTCGGGTCGGCCCGGGAGCAGCTCCTGCAGGTTCCTGAGGCCTCTTTGATGCGCCGACTCTTTATTAAAACTGAACTGTGTTTAATCCCGTGTGATTGGCAGGAAACCGCCCTGGACTGTCAGGACCGCTGAAGTTGGGCCCAATGATTCAACACAAAAACAAAGAACACAACAAACACCAGATGTATTTTATTTAAATAAAATAGTTTAGATACAAGAAAGCCTGATTAATAGGTGCTAATATGGATTGTGTACGTTTGTAAATGTAGTGTGGTGGTTAAAAAATGTAGTTGTGCTTGTTACTTATAATTACTTTAATTTTGAGGAATTTTATGATTAATCTTTGTCTATTTTGGCCACAAGATGTCAAAAGTTATGTTTAAGTCTAATGTTGAATAGTTAGTTGACTTAAAAGGTTCCAAAAGAGGTGAAACTGTTCATGAAGTTGTGAAAGCAGCACCGTTAGCCTCCGCTTGCTTCTCTTCGGCTGCAGAACCACGGGGACTTTTCAGGGCCGGGTCCTGATGTTTTATTTGGTAAACCATTCCAGAATAAAACACGGAACCACAGAGATAATTTACCCCCAGATTTACTCTAATATAAAACGTAAAACACAAAATTCACTGATCAGATCCAGAAATAGATTTATTCATTGAATAAGCTCATATTTATCAACCTGAACGAACAGCTGGATTTCAGTCCGTGGTGGATAAAATATTTTATTAATTAAAAAAAAGTAGTTTTAAATGTAGATTTTCTGACAGAGCTGCAGTCATCAGACTCATTTTTATTTGTTTTTGACATAAAACTTGAGAAGAAACCATTTCGGTGAAAGAACCGTGATCCAGATGTGGATTTTATTTCAGTGGTTCTTATAGAGTCCAACACGAAAAGAACAAACTTTGTTGAAAAAAGTTGCAGCAGTAGCACTGAGAGAGAACAACCTTAGTATTTAAACGTCCTGGTTCATGCTCAGCAGTCCAGGTAAAACATCCAACAAAGTCCAGTCAGGTCCTCTGGATGGTTTCTTTTTTTTTGTTGAGACGTTTCGTCCATAAGACTTCATCAGTTCGAGGAGCCACAACAAACTCAGTCTTATAAATAACACCTTCACAAAGTGAGTCAACCAGTTTGATGGTGCTCAGATGGTTCCTGGAGTCAAGCTCCTCAGACTGATGACGTCTCGGATGAAACGTCTCAACAAAAGCAAACTGTCCAGAGGACCTGACTTAACTTTGTTGGATTAATTATTTAAACTTTATTCATCCTTCTTGCAGAAAAGCATCATAAAGAAAAAATTATATTCATATTTTCACGCCATTCTTTTGCACAGACATGTTTTCCATACGGTGCTTGAACTCTTTGACGATCCACGTGGACCATCAGAACTTGTCTGGTTCCACTCTCTCCGAGCAGCTTCCTGCAGGTCTGACCATGATGAGGACAGATGCTTGGGCTCAAAATGGCCGATACAGATGTTGAGAGCGGACTGGTCCTTCCAGCTGCGATCCTATTGGTTGCGCCGCGGTCACTTAGAGCTCCAAAAGCCGTTCATGTTTCGGATTATTTTTTACATCGTATGGACGTCGTGGACAGGACCTTAGATTCAGTTCCTGTCAGACCGCTTTTGAAGTTTTGAAGCGCAGTGAGCGACACGAGAATCAGCAAAAACTACGACCTGAAATAAACAATCTGAAGAATATTTTTATTGTTTTTATAGGAACATGCCCCATGAGGGGGCGGGGCTTAAAGACTGTTTGGGAGTCAGCTACCAGTGGGTGCTGGTCCATGGAGGCTTCAACTTCCTGTTTCTGGTCCTCATTAGTAATTAACAGTATGCAGATCAATCCAAGTCTTGATAAATTATTGATATTGATTGACATCATTAGTAGTTTCAGTTTTTCAGTGTGGGCCGCTGTGGTTTTGTCTTCAAAGTGCTGCTCTTTGATGAAGCATCTGTTTTATCATTAAACGGGATCGATGATACTGGCACCATATTTACCTATCGGATCAATACAAATCCTGTGTTGTATCACACCACCTGTAGTTCTACCTGGATGAGTCTGAGCCTCCTCCGCCAGTTGTTTTCCTTCAACAACAGACAAAAAAAACAACTTAAATCCACAAACAAACAGAATAAAACCTGATTTTTGGTCCTCTGGATTTCTCTTTCCTCCAAACTCTTTCAGAGCAGCTGTAGTTAGCTAACTAGCTGAAGCTAAGCGAGTTAGCTCCATGTTTGCAGCCGAGGTTTAACTCTCATCAATAGAGCTGAGTCCATCAGAGGATTATTGGCTAAAATCAAAGTGTCACAGATTCCCGTCCATAATCTGGATTAACGAACCTTCCTTTGCTCGCTGCCATCGCGTTTATGTTTCTTTATCGAAGGCAGAAACACCAGACAGACTCAATAATCTGCGTATTTATTAGATTTATAGATAAACTCTTCCTCTGAGCGTCTTCCAGTTGACTGTTGGCTTTTATGTTTTTATATTTATTTGTGTGCATCCTTTAACAAGCACTAACAGTAGAGAGCAGGAACTGTACTAAGCCACTAAAACACATTTACATCCTTTTTATATGACTGTTTTATTATTATTATTATATTTTAATACATTTTTCAATCTCTTTTGTTATCATTTACCAGACAAAAAGGCGGGAAACGTGTGAGGCCACACAAAGAGGATTAAAACTGCCCAGGATTCGCTGAGCAAGGAGCTCTGAGCCCCGCCCCCAACTCCTCCTCCTCCTCCTCCATCCCTCCTCCTTCCTCCCGGTTAAGCGGAGTAATCTCGTGTTAATGATCACCACGGTGAGAGCGCGAGAGAGAAAGAGCTGGAGAGAAGGATGCAATTCATGTAGATGGGAATAAAAAAAAAATACTCAGAAAGCAATAATTCACCCCCCCCCCCCAATTCCCCCCCCCCCCCCGTCTGAAGCATAAACCATGTAAACCAGTGGGTTTTTTTTCTTTGCTTGTCTGTGAGATTTTATATTGTCTACGAGGAAAAAAAATGCAGAAATGTAAAAAAATGCTACGTAAGCCCCTCCCCCACCTTTTGCCCCTCCCCCATGCCCTGTCGACTTCTGATTGGTGGATTTAAAGTTTAAAAACAGAGAAAAAAACGACTGTTAGTTTTATGTTGACGGCCATTCTTGTTTGTAGTTTGCCCTCCCATATGTCCCAGTAGATGTGACAGCAGGACCACGTTGCTCCAGTAAATAGACCGCCCCGAGGACTACCCCACCAACACTGCACCGTCTTCAGCTCTGTGTGTTTAATGTTTTTAGACTGTTATCCTGTGAACAAAGATTCAAAAGAAGAAGAAAAAAAAGAAAACTTGGATTAAAAGTCAAAACGTTTTGTTTTTTCTCGTTGTTTTCCTCTTTGGTTTTGTTTTTTACACCACCATCTTCTCTCTGTTACTGAAGTCTGACATGAAAACAATGATGATGATGATGATGATGATGATGATGATGATGATGGTTCCAGTTTTCACATGTCAGCTAGCAAACTGTCCAGAAAAAGATAGAACAATAAAGACTAAAATCTAACAACTAAAGCGTCTCTTTGTGGCCTTTGTTCGTATTAATGTCTTGAATTGATGACTGTGAGTGCTGGGGGGCGGGGCTGGAATATGAATGGAAGATTACTAATCTGAGTATTGATAATCCCATCTGTTTACGTAACAGGTGAGACGTTTAGAGTAGAACAGACCTGAGCTTTAATCTGCAGGAGACGAGTTTGTTACATTTGGATCAAACCTGAAGAAACTGCCTTAAATATTAATAAAAAACAAGTTTCTATTTGATTCAAACCTAAAAACTCCAGATTAAAATTTTTTTTTTTGTAATTATTAATAAAAAACGGAAATCAATAAAAAGCTCAAAGTGTGCCGACAAATGAACCAGAAAAAGTTCGACATTTTTATTTTAAAATGTGGCAAAAAGTGATGTTTCTCTTTATTTAATTTCTTTTTGTTTTTTATTTATTTGAAGTTTAAGGTGTGGATGAGAATAAACACTTTTCCTTCAATTATTTCTCTTCTTCGCAGTTTTGGAGCTTTTTGTTGTAAAATCTTTTCTCAGATTTTGACAGCATAGTTCTTTTCTCTCTCAGACTAAACTAATTTATTTTATTATTATTATTTTTAATCAGCAAATAAAGGAAAAGCTAAATGATCCGTCAGTGCTTCAGCAGATTTATTCCAAACACGAAGAACAATCCTTTAATCCACCTGATTATAATATGATCACCAATCTGAGTCCTGGATTAGGGGATTTTCACAGTTTGGATGTTTGTCGGCCTCTTCCCCTCAGATGTACCAAATAAAACCAGCAGAACTCTGAACCCTCGGGTCTGACTTGATCTCTGGTTCTTTAAAAAGCTGCTCTGGAGTGTTTTTGTCTAAAACCAACGTGAACGAGAGTTTTACAAAAATCATTTCTGGTCAGGTTTTAACATTTCAAACTCTTCTGGGAGACTGGATGTTTCTCTGATCAGACGTTTGTCCAACACGGTGTCTCCACTTCAGACACGTGGACAGTTTAAAGTTTATTTTCCTGATTTATAACCTGAGAAGACCAGATGAGGCTTTTTGTGTCCTGAGACGTTTAAAGTGAACGGCAGAAATCTGCCTCGTGTCTCCACAGCTCATATTTAAATCGAGATGTGATGCTCAGCAGGGGGACGTCCCGTCCAAGTGTCCTCAGGTCCTGGACAGATGTGATGCTCAGCAGGGGGACGTCCCGTCCAAGTGTCCTCCGCTCCTGGACAGATGTGATGCTCAGCAGGGGGAAGTCCCGTCCAAGTGCCTTCCGGTCCTGGACAGATGTGATGCTCAGCAGGGGGACGTCCCGTCCAAGTGTCCTCCAGTCCTGGACCTGCTCGGTCTGTGGAAGCAGATCCATTTGCCGGCGCCTCTAAAACGAACAGAGACCTGCGAGACGTCGAGACAATCACAGGCGTGGATCAACATGTGGACGCGTCGGGAGGCCGGCGAGGATCAGTCAGAGGTCACATCAAGGTCAGAGGATGACCTTCAGCCGAGCATCAGAGATTTCTGACATGTGGACAACCTGTCTGACTTCAGCTGAGTCTGGTCCCTAAATGTGTATATGATCTCTGAAGTCCAGAGAGGACAGTTTCACCCGGACTCTCGTTTTTTATTTACTTTACAACTGAAGATTTCATTAAAATAAAAATCCAGCATTCCTTTCATGTGAAGCCTTTCAGACAAAGTTAGAAGCAAAACTCGTTTCAGAGAAGACGAAGCTGGAGCTCGCTGGACACGAGTTAGAGCTCCAAGTTGATCAGAAGGATGACTGTCAGCTACCACCACACACACTCATAAAATCTGCTAAATGACCTGAATTATACCGATGCTGCTCAATAATCCAGGTAGAATAATCCAACAAATTTAAGTCAGGTCCTCTGGACAGATTCAAAAATTAAAAATTGAACTTGTTGGAATGTTTCGCCTTTTATCCAAAAGACTTGGTCAGTTTGATGAATCCCTTTTTTTAATCCATACAGAGGACCTGATTTAACTTAGTCAGACCCGAGTTAGTCGTTTAAATTAACGTTGTTCCAGTTAGCTGTGGCAGCCATCTTGAATTGGGTCAACTCCAACATCTGACCAGTTGTAGATGCACACCCAATAATTGTTTGATTTTTTTTTACCGTATATCTCAGACTATAAGGCGCAATTATAATATTTTAATGTTCTTAAAAATAGACAATCAGGCGCTCCTTATGTATTAATTGTGGTTGTGTTCACTGACCTTGAACTGATTTTATGTGGTTATTGTGAATAAGCTGAATAAAATTTGACTTATCTGTTTTGTTTCACATAATGCGCTTTATAGTCCAAAAATTATTGTAATTAAAACATCAACCATAGGTTTATATTTTGCTATCAGTTCAGAGAAATTAAGACACAAAAAGGTCAAAACATAAACGGTTTATACACTAGAACAACTCCAGCACCTGAACACGTGCAGTAAAACTGTGTTTAAAGGAGTTGGACCTCAGACGGTCCTCGAGCCGCACGTTGAGACACGGCAGTGACAGAAAGCACGCAGCGAGGATAATTCCCCTCTGTCAGCTGAAATCTGCAGCATACTGTCCTGCTGTCGGGCCAAATCTCTGGGATTATGTTATTACAGACAAAATGCTGAACACACACGCACAAAGAGCCGAAGCTTTGTGTTAACAGCCGATGTGGGTAATTATTGTATTATTACAACATGAAGCGTGTTGGTGAAGCAGCAGGTGGAGAACATGCTGCTGAAACCCGTCTTTTGTTTAAAGTTCAGGAGAGAAGGCCGAGCAGATGGACTTCCTGTCAGGATTAGAATGTAAAGATGGAGGTTTCCCGCTCAGAGGGCAGCCGGGGCGTTGTCGTGACGACGTCACATTTAACTGAGGCGAGCTCAGCAGGGCCCAGGTCCGCCTGGGAGGTGGTTCCACTTCAGTCGACAGCGGCCTGGAAGTGGCGGAGATGTTTCTGTAGAAAAACTGGTTCTGGATGATGATCCCATAAAGAATCAGCCAGAACACGGACGGTCTCAGCAGAACTTTGGTCTTGCTCCGCCTGATGGCATGGGGGGTGGGGGGGGGTCTGAGAGCTCACAAAATGCTGTAACATCGTCATTGTCAATAAATCTTGTTATAATAAATCATTATAAATAGCACCTTCACCTTCATCTATAGGAGTGAGTTTGTTGCAGCTCCTCAGACTGAAGAAGACTTTTGGATGAAGGACGAAACGTTTCCACAAAGAAGAAACAGTCCAGAGGACCTGACTGAACTTTGTTGGACTTTTCTATATTGAGCATGAATGAGGATATTTTGTACCACTTGGATCCGTTTTCTGAAGGATTTGCAAAACCAAAACTTTTCAAAATGAGGTGCAAAAGTTTTATTTACAGCCTGCAAACAACTTGAAAACCGTTGCAATAAATTCACGTGAGTGGGCGATGTGGGCGTTAAACTAAAGGGCTTCTAGTTTACGTCTGCTTTGGATGGGTTGCTGCTCTTTGGCAGCTCATGTAACCCTCCATCACCTGGCTGAGACCTCCATGGTCCCAAGACCTGCATCAGTTAATGTCCAGGTTATAATCCAACAACTGGAAGGTGGACAGCACCTGAGTCTGAAGCCCCGCCCACACAGGAACTCTCTTTCTAAAAACCAGCTATTTCCACAGAATCACGGCAGAAACAGTAAAGACGCTCCAGTCAACACAAGACAAAAAAGATGAGGATGGAAAACGTACGAGCAAAAACCGAATCCTTTCTGTGGACCGAAGAGGTGTTTGAAAAATACCGTTTAGTTGCTGTTTCCATGTAGACACGAGGCTGAAAGGATTTAAAAACAAAGAAACTTTGCACGAACATAAAATGTTGCTCCTGTGTGGACGGGACTGGAAAAAGAAGCTTCCTCTGAAGGGTTCAAGCAGAGGGACTGGTTTCATCAAGAGGCGACAGATGAGGTGGCTTCAGAGCTAGGCCTGTCGCGATAAACAATAAATCAATTAATCACAGGATCGGTTTTATCATTTCTTTTTCTCTCTCTCTTTTTACTGAAGACACTGGATGACAAAAGACTCAACTCTGGTTCTTCACTGAACCCGCCCTTTCTCTTTAAAATCCATTTAACGATCCAAAATCGCGTTTTTGGATCGTTAAAAGCAGCTAAGCTACGAGCTAAGCTAACAGGCCGACCTGAAGAAAAAACCTCCGTCTTGTCGAAGCTCCAAAATTCACGGTTGAAACTCGTGCCTTCGTGTAAAAAGTTGTTTTTCTCTGCAAAAAGAAGCTGAGAACTTGTTTACTGATTTTTT